TGTTTTTACCTTATACTGGGAATTCGTCATGTCAAGTGCATCAACTGTGTGACACCTAGCTAGTGAAACCAGCCCAAGCAAGCCAAGCAGCGTGAATGCAGAGACTCTGCTGAGAGAGTCAGCCGAGTTAGCAAGAACGTTCGCACACCCCTCAGCAGTGAGGGACTGCGCTCTTTTAAAGTAGACAGTGCAGCAGAGGAGAGCAAGCCGCCAACAAGAGAGGACAGCAGGGCAGGAGTAAGCAAGGAGGAGCACCAGCAGCTAAAGGAAAGGAGGAGAAGAGGGAGAGGCACGGCGGCAGCACTGGACAGGGAAGAAGAGACAAGAGAACGGGGAGGAGAAGGGCAGAAGGAAAAGGGAGAGGCCTTAATTCGACAGAGTTAGCCGCAGAGCCAGTTACTCCTGTAGTCCGGGGCCCTTGCTCCGGTAGCCACCGTGCGCGCCGCTCCTGTTGCCCGTGTGTCTGCAGCTTCAGCCGTCGCCTCCTATCTCCTCTCCTCTCACAGTTCCGCCTCCTCCTCCTCACTTGCCCTTTGTGAATGCCTCTACCTTTGCTTGTTCTTGTGAACCTGCTCTATGACTGCTTGCTGTGCTGATTATACCCCACTTTGACTATGGGGGTGTGTCAGAATGTGATATTTGTCTAGCCTGCAGTGGGGTACTCTATAGCGAGTATAGCCCAGATTAGGGTTTCCTATATGTACTCAACTGCCTGCTAGTGCAAACCATCTTCTCTGTTCTATCTTTCTAGCTGTGATTCTGACAACGCGAGGCCAGGTCGTGTGCACGTCATCAGGTACATGAGGTAACCCACAAGCTCTGGGTACGGACCACTCGGCTCTACGGACTCGTCCGAAGGTGGAGCTGAGAGCAAGTGGCCGGTAGACAGAGGAGTGGGCTGTGGCGAGGACCACGTGAAGCCAAAGCGCTGAAGGACCTGTTGCACCATGTGTGACTGCGTCAGGGTGATGGTGCGCCGTGCTCTGTCCCGGGTGATCTGCAAGCCAAGATAGCTCCGCAGCTCACCCAGGTCAGTACAGGTGTGTCTCTCCTGCAGCTCGGTCTTCACGCGGGCCAGTGCCTCAGTGTCAGCAGTAGCAAAGACCAAGACGTCTACGTACACGAGGATATAGAACGGCGGCAGAGTGGTGTAAGTGCGCAGAAACAGCGACGGGTCAGCAGTGGAAGGAGCAAACCCAAGAGCCGCAAGTGTCGTCCTCAGTGTGTCGTGCCACTCGCGGGGCGCCTGACGCAGGCCGTACACTGGTCGCCGTAGGCTCCACTGGGTACCCTCAGGAAACGACCCAGTGAAGCCCTCTGGACGGCGCAACCAGATGGCCTCGTGAAGGCTATCCTGCAAGAAAGCTGTCGAGAAGTCGAGGGAGTGCAACTCGTAGTCACGCTGAGCTGCAACGTGTAGCAACACCCGAAGAGTGGTCATCTTCGGGGTGGGGGAGAAGGTCTGAAAGAAGTCGACCCCTGCACGCTGACTGAAGCCTCGAGCAACGTAACGTGCCTTGAAGGCAGGCGGAGAACCCGGCGGCCGCTTCACCCTGAAAATCCACATGCCACTGACGATGTTCGCCCCAGGTGGGGGAACCTCGTCGACGTAGGTGCATGTGGACTTCCAGGAAGCCATCTCTGCGTCCATGGCTGTCTGCCACTGAGAGGAGTACTCACCCGAGATCGCCTCTCTGTAAGAGCGCGGGGTGGGGATGTCAAGTGCATCCGGGTCTCCCTCAGGGGCAAGCACCATGGTTGCGAGATGGGGTGCAGCGGCCGCAAGACACTCCAGCTCCTCCTGTCTGTCCTCAAGAACGTCACGGCCAAGGGCAGTACAACCAAGGGCAGTCTCACCCCCGACAGACGGAGGACAGGCAGGGACAGGGTCAGAAACAAGACTCGCAAGGTAGTCTAGGCGGTACACAGCAGCAAAGTCAATGAGCTCAGCGACTAAGGCAGACGCAGCAGGAGACGAGAACGAAGGGTCAGTCACCACCGTAGCCAGAAAGCGAGTAACAGTCGGACTGGACGCACGAGCAAGGTCAGACGGAGGGTCAGCAACGTCAGGAAGAGAGGACGCATGAGGTAACGGCAGGACAACACGCTGTGGAACAGAGGAAGGACGGAGTGTCATATCGTGAGTGCCTTGGACAGCCGGAGCACGAGGACGACGCACACGACGCACACGAGTACGGACAGCGGCACTAGGCTCGGGCTCAAGGTCAAAGCTAGACTCAGGCTCTCGATGCTCAGGGGTGGAAGCACGAGTCTCAGGCTCTCGACGCTCAGACAGGGACTGTGTCACCGCAGTGTAAGGAGCAGGAGCAGGCAGTGGGGAGTGCGGTAGGAGCGGCGGCTGAGACTGGTCTGCCGGTGGAAACAATAACGGAGGAGTAGTACCTGCCACTGGGAAGTCAGTAGCACCTGGCGGAAGACTGAGAAGGTGGCGAAGAGCACAAGCAGCTCCCGTACCTCCAGCACGAGCAGCTCCTCCAGTACCCCCAGCAGCACCTCCAGCACGAGTAGCACCTGCGCCTCCAGCACCTCCAGTGCCTCCAGCTCCAGCTCCTCCAGCACCAGTAGTACCTCCAGTACCTCCAGTGCCAGCAGCTCCAGTAGCACCTCCAGCACCTCCAGCACCAGTAGAACCAGCACCTCCAGGGACAGTAGCTCCAGAAACACCTCCAGCACGAGAAGCACCACCAGCTCCGGCAGCTCCAGCACCTCTAGTACGAGCACCTCCAGGACCAGCAGCTCCCGCAACTCCAGCACCAGTAGCACCAGCACCTCCAGTGCCAGCAGCTCCAGTACCCCCAGCACCTCCAGGAACAGTAGTACCTCCAGCACCAGCAGCTCCAGTACCTCCAGCTCCAGTACCTCCAGCACCGGCAGCACCTCCAGTACTAGCAGCTCCAGGACCTCCAGCTCCAGTACCTCCAGCACCAGCAGCAGCTCCAGTACCTCCAGCACCAGCAGCACCTCCAGCACCTCCAGGCCTAGCAGCTCCAGTACCTACAGCACCAGTAGCACCTCCAGTACGAACAGTAGTACCTCCAGGCCTAGCAGCTCCAGTACCTCCAGCACCAGCAGCACCTCTAGTACCTCCAGTAGTACCACCAGCACCTGCAGCACCAGCAGCACCTCCAGGACTAGTAGCTCCAGCACCAGCAGGACCGTACCCTCCACCACCGGGACTGCCTCGCCGAACGACCCACGCACGAATCGCCTGCGGCGAGAGCGTCTCAAGTAGCGCAGGCTGCGGTGGCTGTCCAACTCCAGTACCTCCAGTAGTGGTAGCTCTAGCACCTCCAGCACCAAAAGCACCTCTAGTACCTCCAGCTCCAGTACCTCCATTACCAGTAGCACCTCTAGTACCTACAGCAGTACCTCCAGGCCTAGCAGCTCCAGTACCTCCAGCTCCAGGACCTCCAACAGGGTCACCCACAACTCCACTGCCACTAGGACTCGCAGCACCCCCAGTCGCAGCACCCCCAGAACCAGCACCCCCAGGCACAGCACCTCCAGAGCCCTCACCCCCTGGCTCAGCACCCCCAGTCTCAGCACCTGTAGTCTCAGCTCCAGTGTCCACAGCAGCAGGCTGCGGAGGCAGCGAAGACTGTCGAGGCGGAAAACCCGGGGGGGTCTCCAAGCGTGGAGAGCGGCGAGTGGCCGCCGTGTCGTCCGCAACTGGGTCACCCCCCTCAGCTGGGCCAGAGGAGTCTGAAGAGATCTCCACTGGCTCATCCAAGGGGGGTGGGTCGACCTGAGACACACCTGAGGGAGCAGGACCCTGTGGGGGGAGGGGGTCTACCAGGGGGGGGACTGGTACCAGAAAGAGGGGTGCGAGTGGGACCGGGTGGGACGCGTGCGGGTGTTACTGGTAGTAACAGACAGACTAGTCAAAGGTGACGTCCTGGGAGGAGAAGACTCGACGCGAGCGCGGGTGGTAGAACTGCCACGGCGGGGCGTCAGTGGGGAAGCCAAGGAAGACGCAACGGAGAGTGCGAGAGGAGAGCTTGCTCGCTTTGGAATCGCGAACAAGGGAGAGCGCGCCCCAGACCCGAAACACTGACGCATCACCAGGCTTCCCAGTCCACCGGAGGGTGGGCGAGGTCTCTGGCACAGAGACACGGGGCCAGAGGTTGAGCTGATGCGCAGCGTATCGGACCGCAAACGGCCACAGAAAATGGGGAGCAGCCGCATGGATCATGGAGGTGCGAGCAACCTCCATGATCAAGCCAATGCGACGCTCAGCAATCCCATTCTGCTGAGGAGAGGCCGGAAGCGTGAACGTCTGGCGGATGCCCTCGTCTCGACAGAACCCCGCAAGGAGGTCAGAGGAGAACTCACCGCCCCTGTCAGAGTGCAGACGCAGGACTGGGAAGTCCTGCTGAAACCGCTCGTGCAGCTGGAGACGAGTAGCACGGATCCAGGAGATCAGGACATCGCTGACGTCCGTCTTGCGCCGCAAGGGGAAGACAGAGGTGTAGCGTGTGTAGTCGTCAACAACCAGCAGGAAGTAGTGCTCGCGGTCCGTTCCACCGATGGGGGCCGGGCCCCACACATCCATGTGGAGAGTCTGCAGAGGAGCAGTGGTCGGAGGAAGCTACGAGTAGGGCAGGGCGGAACGTTCGGTGGGCCCTAGGAACGATTCTGCTCTAATACCATGTTAGAATAAGCAGGCAGGAATGGTGGACTAGGTAGCATGCATGAGTACAAGTACCTAACCTTAAAGTGTTGTACCCCTTGTAGGCTATCCCACTATAGCCTAGAGAGAACAGAAACATACAGTTTGACAGCCGCTTAAGGGCAAGCAAGGGACCCAGTACTGGGCGCGCCTTGTAGCCCACATCCAGGAGGAGAACCCGGGATGGTTCCGGGGCGTCAACGCCGTGCAAAAGCAGTGGCGCAACTTGACGCGCCTGTGGAAGCAGCTCCGCCGAGGTGACGGCGGTTCCGGTAATGGATCGGTGGTCAAGCCACCCTGGTTCCAGTTCATGGAGCTCTACAACCGCGACACGGCTGCAGCCGATCCGCACATAGTCGATCAGGGAGGCGCGGGGAACGTCAACGTGCGCGCACGCATGGAGGTGCCGTCTACCTCACAGCCAGTCACTTCGACGCCCACGTTTACTGGTAGGCTATCGAGTATGTGGTCTGAAGCATGTTTGTTTACTCCTACAGTCTATGTATGTTTAGGCTTGTCGCGTCTCCTGCAGTGAACATGTAATTCATTACGTACATACGGTACACAATGTTAATACGCAATTAGTACCGTGACTACTACTCATGAGGTTGCTCCCCCTCTACAGCCCCCCCTGCGCAGGATACACCCTCATCGAAGCGTCCGCGATTGCGTGAGACGGCAACCATGCAGGTCGCCATGCTCGTCTCGGATACTATCAAGAGCTGCCATGGTGACGCGATGAACCGGCTCGAGACCCTCGTGCGTGAGTGGATGCAGCAGGACGTCCGACTGTCTCGGGAGCGCGCGCAACAGCATGGCGGGTCTCCTGCTGCTCACACCATCCGCACCGAAGGCCCCCCACCGGCAGCTACCGGACACGCACGCGCAGGTGGGCGCGATGATCCTGCCGTTGACCATCCTGAAGAGGCTACGAACGAGGATGGCGATAAGGCCGACGAGGTCAACCCTGATGCGGATGACGTGGAGATATGGGTGCACGGCGACGACGAGTGATGTAAGAGGACTGTAATGCCAACCCGAGGCGTTTACGCCGTTCACGCAAGGCCGGCTGTGTGCCACGGCACGCAGGGCTCCCATTTGTGCTCTGCTATTGCGCCTCTTGTCCACCACGGGTCCCTGTTGCGGGGCAGATTTGCCCATGGTTGGTTCACGCGTCTGACACGGCCCATTTTCTCGCACATGTTGTGCAGGATGACGCAGCACGAGGCGCCCGCCAGGATCCGCCACAACTTGCAGTCGTTGCGGCCGGCGAACAAGCGCCAGCGTCCCTTGAAGGCGCCGATGCATTGTTCAACCGCCATGCGTGTAGCGCTTTGGCAGTAGTTAAAACTTTGCTCCCAGTCTGCCATTAGCTCCTCCCCCCGTGGAGCATGCAGAGGGGTCAGGCAGAAGTCCCGTAGTGGGTATGCGGCATCCCCCACTAGTTGGTACGGGGCAATGTCCCCTCCCTGTAACCTTTCATGAAGTGCACTTAGCAACTCTATGATCGTGCGCAATCCCGGGATACCCTATGAGGTAGTCCCATATAATCCCCTTCGCATCACATGTCACTTGAAGCTGGACTGCATATGCCGTCTTGCGTGTGTAGTACTCCGTGCGGTGCCCATCCATCCCTTTCATTTCTATGTGTGTGCCGTCTATAGCCCCAATCACAGCAGGGATGCCCTTGATGGCTCTAAACTCCTCGGCCATTGCATCGAGTGTCTCTCGCGCTGGGAAGCGCACCCACACCGCCTTGTACACCGTCGGGAAGTTCTCGAGGAAGATGTCAACGAGCTCATGACACAATGTCTTCGTAATGCCAAATAGGTAAGACATGTCCACATACGTAATGCCACTTGCGAGGTACTTTATCGCCACAAGTAATGCGGCGTCCATTGTGATGCGGTGTCGCTCAACAGTCGGTTGCAAGAAGTAGTACATTCCGTCCTTGATGTGGTCGAGTATCGCGCGGTTAATCCGATACATGTCCATGAAATCGTCGTCCCGCATCCCTTCTAGGTCTTCAGTCCACAGCGCGAACCGCCTTCGGCGCAAATGCCTGCGGCGGCGCCTCAGCTCAAGACTTGCAAGCCGGGAGGATGTTGCGGAATCGTCGTCATCGTCGAAGGCTCTCGCTTCTAGCAGACCGACCACAGAACGGGAGACGGCTCCAAGGAAGATGGTGTAGTAGTAGGATGTCCACGCCACAAGCAGGCGCAGCAGGAAGGGGAATGTGCGAGGCTCTGACATGTCTACGTGAGGAGACCTAGTTATCCGCTTAGCTAGACGATGACTATGTTTATGGTGGTTGAGCCACTAGTTTGTGTGCTGGTTGCGTTGTGCGCACACATCACTCCGCAAGTACAGCCCCGCTTTGAAAGTTACGCGGCTTGGGTCTGTAGGTGGCCTTTCCAGAAGTTGTCACTGCCCTGTAAAGCCATCAGTGCGAAGTTGCAAAAAAGGCCTGTAGATGTGTTCGGCCAATGGGACGTATCCAGCTGTAATGTCGCGCGACTTGGAAAGTGTCGTAATACATTATGCCTTAGTGACGCGAGGATTTACAACATTTGAACGCGGCTCGGGAAAAATGAGGTTGCGACGCATACTTTTGGGACATGTCACGTCCCGAATGTTCCCTCAATGCTCAAAGTGTAACGTCATTTCTCGCACTTCCAGTGCTGGGCAAGTTCAAATGAAGCGCTGTTGCGAGTTTTGATTCAACTTCCAAGGAATGAGGGTCAGCACATGTTCGAGATTAGCCAAGCATCGTATATCGCGTACGATCGCCGTCAAACACCTATCACCCTGAATCGTCTTGGGAACTCCACAGACGCCATGGCGGCTGCTCAGCAGCTGCTGTTGTAAGGTCCTGCCTCCGCGTAGCTACAGGGAGGGGATTCTGCACCGCCGATCTCCACCATTGATCCCTCGATCGCACTTTTTTCGTGGATTCTCACCATTGATCCTTGGTGGTTGCACGAGCTGTCCTTGGTGCTATCTTCGCTCTCTTGCGGCTCGCGTCTCCCGCGATCATCTCCCCTCCGTCGCACTCCGTCGCACGATCAGCACCAGAAACGCATCCCATTTCAGCTTGCGTCTTCATGTATTTTTCTGCAGTGACAGCATCCCACCCTCGACTCCCACGCCTGTTATCTTGCGACCTGTAATTCCGTGATTCGCTGATCCGTAAACAGGACTCTCAGGATTCATCCTGCTGCGTCTTCGACCCTTCGTCACATTTCAGCACCACCTGTGGCAACGCTTACGCCATGCCACGTGTCGATTTCCTGCGGGTCCGCCATGGCATCGCCAGGCTGGCTCGCGACGGGCTCCAATCTTATCGCCATCACCACCACGAGGCTTCTCACACCGGAACGCGCGGCGTTACAGCATGGCGGGCTGGGCTCGAGAGCGACGGATGCGGGGTGTCAAGGCTGCAGGGGAGAGCGTTGTCAGATACATCCTTGGCAGAGACTAGTTTGCGGGAGTTGCTAAGCTGTGAGACAGCTCAAAGCGTCCAGCAGCAGGCGGTGCAGCAGTTGCAGCCGTGGAGATCCCCAGAGACGTCAGGTCAGGTGTCCAGATTCGTTGAATCGTTTTTAGAGGCACCTCAACAACCTTGGAGATCCCAAGGGACGACAAGCCAGGTATCCAGATTCATTGGGAGTCACATTTGCCAACTGCAGCGCGTTCCTGCTGCAGCTGGTTCTGCTAGGCTTGCCACTCCACAGAATCGCTGGCAGCACTGGCAGCAGCAGCAGCAGCAGCAGCAGCAGCAGCAGCAGCAGCAGCAGCAGCAGCAGCAGCAGCAGCAGCAGCAGCAGCAGCAGCAGCAGCAGCAGCAGCAGCAGCAGCAGCAGCAGCAGCAGCAGCAGCAGCAGCAGCAGCAGCAGCAGCAGCAGAAGCAGCAGCAGCAGCAGCAGCAGCAGCAGCAGAGAGCCGCCTTCTCGTCTTCAGCTAGCAGTCTTCCCAGTCACACCAGCACAGCAGGCTCGCCTGGGCCCATCCTTTCAGCTAGCTCGCCTGGTCCCGTTCTCTCAAATCAGCAGTCAGCGCCAAGCCATGCTCCCACTCCGAGCAGTCGTTATAGTTCTTCCATCAGCGCAGTCAGCCAAACCAGTCAAACAAGTCAAACCAGTTCCACCAGCCCCACTAGCCCTTTTGGTCAATCAAGTCAAACCATCCCCACCAGTTCAAGTGGTCAACCCAGTTCCACCCCTCCGAACGGAAATGTCAGTCCAGCTAGCAGCAAGCAACCGGATCAGTTCATACCAGTCAAGGCAGTCTACGTGGCAAGAAGGTATCTTAAACTCTTAAACCCTGAATCATCTTGGGGCGCTTAAACCCCGAGCCTTTATGCTCGTGAACGCAAGCAGCTCTAGCCACATGCATACAGCGCGCTAGCGTTGTCCACATACATGCGAATTTTCATGCTGGTTGTTGACTCGACTACATATGAATCCAAGCACTTCTATTCACATACATACAGCGCGCTAGCGTTGTCCACATTTTAATTTCTGTGTGCGCACTGCTTCATACCTCCTATGTTTGCGTTCGGATTGGGGTTCAGGGATTGGGTTAAATGTCACATTCTCTCACCATTGCTTTCCATCTCCTGCATTTGAGATGCCATTTGTAATTCCATCTCTACCTTGGTGAATTTTCTCCGTCTTCCCCCCCCCCCCTTCCCCCTCTTTTTGTCTACAATCAAACCCCCCCCATACACCCCCAGTCTGGACGTGAGGGGGCTGGCGGGTCCTTCGGGGTTCAAAGGCATGTTGCTGCTGCCAGCCAAGAACAATGTCATCATCCGCTTCCCCAACCGCTCCCTGCCTCTCCCCGTCCATGCCGCTCTCTCCAAACCCGTGAGTGCCATTTCAGTGGTGTGTGTGTGGGTGGCGTGTCAGTGGGGTGTGGGTGCTTCTGGCATTGCATGTTGAGAAGAGGCGTTTAGCTGTTGCAATGCATGTAAGCTTCGGTTGCTGCTTCTGCTGCTTCTGCTGCTGCTGCTGCTGCTGCTGCTGCTGCTGCTGCTGCTGCTGCTGCTGCTGCTGCTGCTGCTGCTGCTGCTGCTGCTGCTGCTGCTGCTGCTTTTCTGCCAGCATCCCCGTCCATACCCGAAACTTCATCCACCCGTGATGGCAATCGTCTGCATGCCCACGCTGTCTGTATCCTCGGAGGGCCCACTCCTCTGTGTTGTATGCCGGCGGCGCACAGTGCATGGAGGCATGTGTGGTGGGGCACCTGAGCGCGCTACATGGTGGCATTCCATTACGGCTCCGTGGTATTGCCCCCCACCCTGCTATCTCCCCTTCCTACCATACATCCCATCCCATGCCCGTCTATTTCGCCAGGGCATGGCGGCATGTGTACCAGCACCGGAGCGCTACATGGTGGCATTCCACTACGGCTCCGTGGTCCTCCTCCCTCCCCTTCCTCCCATACATCCCATACTGTGCCCGCACACCCCTCACCACCACCAGGGCATGGAGGCATGCATAGCGTGGTGGCATTCCACTACGGCTCCGTGGCCTTCTTCAACTTTGACCGCACAGAGGAGGCGCTCGCCCTTCAACATGTTCATCAATCCCATTCGCCCATATACCCCTTTCTTCAGGGCATGGAGGCGTGTGTGCCAGCACCGGAGCGCTACATGGTGGCCTTACCACGCCCATGCTATGCACCCATACACCCATTACAGGGCATGGAGGCATGTGTGCCAGCGCCTGAGCGCTACATGGTGGCGTTCCACTACGGCTCCGTCGTCTTCTTCAACTTTGACCGCACAGAGGAGGCGCTCGCCCTCGATATAGTCACGCAGCACTGCACTGGGGCGTTCAAGGAGGCTCACAGCGACGGTGGGTTCCTCTGACCTCGATATAGTCACATGATGCTGGGTGCTGTTTAGAGGCACAAATCTATGGTGCGTTCATTTTCCCTTGATAGTCACGTGTACTTGGCATGGCATTCCTTTGAAGCTCGAAGCTATGGTTGCTCCTACATGTGCTATCCGCGCAGAGTACAGTGTGATCGCGCGGGCGGGCCTCAAGGGGTGGAGCGAGGGCGGGCATGACCACGTGGCGGTGAGGCAGCTGGACGTGAACAACATTCGAGTCATCTCCAGCATCCTCGGGCAGAGCGTGGCTCTCGACCACTATGCACGCAAGGTGGGTGGGTGGAGAGAGGCGTTGCACGGTACTTCACTTTTGACGCGCCATGGAAGGACCTCTCGGCTTGGAAGGAGGGGTGGAATGCGGTGCTGCGTGGTGGGTGCGTCTGGGCTCTTAGTCTCAACCACTGCATTTAGAAAGCAGGCACTGGGGGCATTTCCCGTCTGCCCTGCCTTCCCTTGCTCCATTTCTCCCTGCCAATAGGTTGGCGAGATAGTGAACGTTTTCAATGATCTGACCCGAGGCATGGGGCAGGGCGGCACGTTTTGGATCGATCGAGATATGTTTTGATTGCCATTTACCTTCTCTCCCTCCACGCAGGTGGACGAGATGGTGAACACGTTCAGTGAGCTGAACCGAGGCATGGAGCAGAGCGGCACGTTCACCACGTCCCAGGTTTCCAAGGCTATGTGCTGTGTTGGTTTGCGTTGTTTTGCCGCTTGCAGGTGGACGAGATGGTGAACACGTTCAGTGAGCTGAACCGAGGCATGGAGCAGAGCGGCACGTTCATCATGTCCCCAACAGTTCCCTTGCTCCCCCTTGCCCTCTCTTGGTCCCCCTCTTCTCACTGCCCACAGGTTGACGAGATGGTGAACACGTTCAGTGAGTTGAATCGAGGCATGGAGCAGAGCGGCACATTCACCATGACCCGCAAGAAGCTCTTCCAACTCGTTGCTGCTGCCAATACCACCCTGGCTGACGTCATCCTCAGAATAGGGCTGCTGGAGAGGTGCGATGAGGGCTCTTGTGGTTGCCCTCTTGCCTTGCCATTTTTACTATTCCATGAGCTGTGTGTCGGTCTTTCCTCTGCCAAGCTCATCTTGCTCACCATACGCCGTTTTCTTTCTTTCTTTCTCTCTTTTTCTGGTGGTGGGGTGGGAGGGATGGGGGGATAAATATTTCGTCACGTGCTTTCGTTTCTCTTGTGTGTGTGCTTCGCTGCGAGTTTCAGGTCGGACACGGCGTGGCGGCATGCGGAGTACTCCAAGATCTGGGAGTTCCTGCGAGACGACTTTGAGCTGGACGAGCGCTTTGAGAGCCTCGACTTCAAACTCAACATCATCCAGGTGACGCCGCCACACCGTCTCTCATGCTGACCTTATCAGTTGCCGCTGCTGTCTATTGTTGGAGTCAACTGACGAGTCACTTCAAATTGAGCTGGACGAGCGCTTTGAAAGCCTCCATGCCCTATTATTTTGCTGCTGCCCCTTAACTGCTGCTGCTGCTGCTGCTGATGGTGCTTCTGCCAGTTGGTTCCTTGGAATTAAGAATTAGAGCGTATTCCTATCCTCGTATCAAGCGAACCTCATATCAAGCTCACACTGAAAAATCCCCTAAACCCAAAACCTCTCCCTACTTTTACCAGGCAAAAAGTACAATCTTGATACGAGGTGGCCTGATATGAGGCTGTAGGAATACGCTCTTAGAGTGGGGGGGAATGCCATGCCTGGTGTGATTTGTGTCATATTTTGTTTCTATTTGTGTTCTCGTCTGGCAGCACAACGTGAGGTTCTTCTTGGATATTCTCCAGAATCGGAAGTCGGACACGCTTGAGTGGATTATTATCCTGCTCATTGCAGGCGAGATCTGTGTTAGCCTGTACGAGATCATTTTTAGATCCATGGAGAACTCTAAGTAGGAGGTAGGTACTAGTTAGTTCCTAGTAGAAGGTAGGAAGGTACAACCAGTACTAGGCAAATATTAGTTGATTGATGTTGATTAGTTTTACGAGATGTTATAACGCTAATTTAATGCGTTCACATTCATGGGGTGATGTTTGAGAGATAGAATATGTTTGCCTTTCGCGCATTGAGGCTAGTTTGCATCCCTGAAAGACTGGGCGAAGATATCGAAAACCGGGTTCACTTGTAAGGAGGTTGGAATGATAGCATCACAACTTCAATTGTCTTGGTTCCCCGAATCAAGAATTCCGAGTCTGCTTCGCAAGCCCCACTGTTTGCAAGTTATAGCGGTGACGGCTCACCGTGGACGCCGCTGCAGCCTCGTCCTGCTCTGCATTGCCGTAATCCTGACCGTCAATGGATCTTCTTGCGCAGCGACAGAGAATGTCGCAGCGTCGCAGAACGTCGCAACGCCGTCGCAAGGAAGCGGCGACGTTGCACGAAGTGCTACAGTCCAGGGCTCGAATGCGACAGCCAAGCGAGGTGTTCCAGAGTCGCTCGGATGGCTGATCTCCTCGTTTGGCGGAACCCATTACGATGATAAAGAGGGTGATTCGTTACTGGAATCCCCGCTGAAAGCAGATTCAGCTTCCAGCAATGAACACAAAGACCCCGTAAATTCCGGAGGATCAGGTGACACGTGGACAGCCGAAGATCTCTGGGATGAAATCAGCGCTGACGTGGATCCGCTGCTGTTTGAAGCTGGATGGGGGGAGTATCTAAAGTGGATTGCGGATTCGGCGGGGGAAAATTCGACTACGGCGCTTCGAGCAGCTACGGGGAAAGGACCCATAAAGGTGGGGTACCTTCTCGTTTTGGACCCTCTAGTGGTTGGTCGTCTAGGTAGAAATTTCCACATCTGCTCCAACGGCTGTTGTTTGGGCGAATGATAAGTATCCAGTTTGGACGATAGCTGTAAAGCTGTGACCTTTAGAGCCTTCGTGGACCAATCCTTCTAGCTTGTATCTGTTCCGTTCCGTTCCGTTCCGTCAGCACAATGCCCATCCTGACCATGAGTGTCCAGGCATGTCCTTGTTCAGTCCCTTCCTTTATGCTGCTTTTGAATGCTGATACAAGAGTAAAGGTCAACTGGTTCCTCCCCAACCACTACGCATATCCTCTGACTTTTGGGACGTCTCAAAAGTCAACTGGTTCCTCCCCAACCACTACGCATATCCTCTGACTTTTGGGACGTCTCAAAAGTCAACTGGTTCCTCCCCAACCACTACGCATATCCTCTGACTTTTGGGACGTCTCAAAAGTCAACTGGTTCCTCCCCAACCACTATGCATATCCTCTGTTAATTGACTGGGGCAACATTGCTTCAACATGCATCTCCTGTACTGCTTGGCATGCATGGCCTTTATGGTACGCATCATGCATGCATGGCATTTCTGGTACGCATCATGCTTGTATCCCGTCCATGCATGGTATGGTTTTTGTATGTCGTTGCTTGCCATGTGGCGGCTGCTTGAATGGCATGTACCTGATGACATGGAATGGTATGTGATGTCATGTGGTGGCATGTGATGGCATGTGATGGCATGTGGTCCCATGTGGTGCCATGCGGTGGCATGTGATGACATGTGATGGCATGTGATGGCATGTGATGGCATGTGGTGGCATGTGGTGGCATGTGGTGGCATGTGATGGCATGTGATGGCATGTGATGGCATGTGGTGGCATGTGGTGGCATGTGGTGGCATGTGATGGCATGTGATGGCATGTGATGGCATGTGATGGCATGTGATGGCATGTGGTGGCATGTAGTGGCATGTAGTGGCATGCAATGGCATGTGATGGCATGTGATGGCATGTGATGGCATGTGATGGCATGTGGTGGCATGTAGTGGCATGTAGTGGCATGCAATGGCATGTGATGGCATGGGATGGCATGGGATGGCATGAGATGGCATGCGATGCATCTGATGGCATGTGATGCAACTGATGGCATGGAATGGCACGACTACACAGCTGCTGATGCTGAAGCAACGGTTTGTGCCCAAGCCACAACAGACGACGCAGGAGGGGGATGAGAAGCCTGCAAAAGCTTCTAACGAGGATGAGTATATGTGAGATGCTCCACCTGCCGTTACATGACCTTTCTTGTTGAGGTTGTTTCGTTTTTTTTTCTTTATTTCTCCCTTCCCCTGCCCCTCGCCTACAAATGCAACTCGCAAGCCACCTCATTCTCTGTTCCCCTTGCCTGCTCCCATCTCCATCCCATGCAGGTTCCCTCCCTCCTTAGTTACCGCCCGCCTCACAAGTCACCTCGTCCTCTGTTCCCCGACCCTCCCAACCGCTCCCTCCTTCCCACACAGGTTTCTGCCGTCCCTAGTTACCACCCGCCCCATTCGCCGAGGCCAAGTTCTCTTCTCTCTCCCCCTACGCCTCGCCTTCTCCTCCTCCCTCTGCGCCTCCTCTCCTCCCTTCTCGGTCCCATCCCCATCCCTCCCCGCATCCCTCTCTGCTGAAGCCGCGCTTGCTGTCTGCGCCCTCTCCCACCTCCACTCATCCTCTTCCTCTCCTTCCTCCTCCACCTCCTCGCTCGCCTGGGCGCCCTTCCTCCACCTGCTGATTCACCTGAAGGCGGGCCAGCGCCGCGCACTGCCCATGATGCACGAGGGGGTGGGAATGCAGCCGGAGATGGCGGAGGTGAGTGCAGATGAGAGGAGAGGCGAGTATATTTTGCTGAAACATGAAGCAAGGGACGAGTGCTACAAAAATAGTCCCCATGATGCACGAGGGGCTGGGCATGCAGCCGGAGATTGCTGAGGCGAGTGCAGCGGAAGCAGCATTTGAATTATTTGAGGTGTATATGAATGTAGTGTCGTACTTGGATGGATATGTGTTAAATCACGCTCCCCATGATGCACGAGGGGGTGGGCATGCAGCCGGAGGTGGCGGAGGTGAGTGCAGTGCAAGCAGCATTTGAGTAGCCTGAAGCGTCTGAGGCAGTTGGTGAGGATATGTATGAGTGCGCTGCTGTGTTGGGATGGGTGTCATGTTGGGTGTCATAAGCGTGCCTCAATAGACGCTGTCATGATGCCCATGATGCCCATGATGCTCATGATGCCCATGATGCCCATGATGCCAATGATGCCCATGATGCCCATGATGCCCATGATGCCCATGATGCCCATGATGCCCATGATGCCCATGATGCCCATGATGCCAATGATGCCCATGATGCCCATGATGCCCATGATGCCCATGATGCCCATGATGCCCATGATGCCCATGATGCCCATGATGCCCATGATGCCCATGATGCCCATGATGCCCATGATGCCCATGATGCCCATGATGCCCATGATGCCCATGATGCCCATGATGCCCATGATGCCCATGATGCCCATGATGCCCATGATGCCCATGATGCCCATGATGCCCATGATGCCCATGATGCCCATGATGCCCATGATGCCAATGATGCCCATGATGCCCATGATGCCCATGATGCCCATGATGCCCATGATGCCCATGATGCCCATGATGCCCATGATGCCCATGATGCCCATGATGCCCATGATGCCCATGATGCCATGATGCCCATGATGCCATGATGCCCATGATGCCCATGATGCCATGATGCCCATGATGCCCATGATGCCCATGATGCCCATGATGCCCATGATGCCCATGATGCCCATGATGATGCCCATGATGCCCATGATGCCCATGATGCCCATGATGCCCATGATGCCCATGATGCCCATGATGCCCATGATGCCCATGATGCCCATGATGCCCATGATGCCCATGATGCCAATGATGCCCATGATGCCCATGATGCCCATGATGCCCATGATGCCCATGATGCCCATGATGCCCATGATGCCCATGATGCCCATGATGCCCATGATGCCCATGATGCCCATGATGCCTATGATGCCCATGATGCCCATGATGCCCATGATGCCCATGATGCCCATGATGCCCATGATGCCCATGATGCCCATGATGCCCATGATGCCCATGATGCCCATGATGCCCATGATGCCCATGATGCCCATGATGCCCATGATGCCCATGATGCCCATGATGCCCATGATGCCCATGATGCCCATGATGCCCATGATGCCCATGATGCCCATGATGCCCATGATGCCCATGATGCCCATGATGCCCATGATGCCCATGATGCCCATGATGCCCATGATGCCCATGATGCCCATGATGCCCATGATGCCCATGATGCCCATGATGCCCATGATGCCCATGATGCCCATGATGCCCATGATGCCCATGATGCCCATGATGCCCATGATGCCCATGATGCCCATGATGCCCATGATGCCCATGATGCCCATGATGCCCATGATGCCCATGATGCCCATGATGCCCATGATGCCCATGATGCCCATGATGCCCATGATGCCCATGATGCCCATGATGCCCATGATGCCCATGATGCCCATGATGCCCATGATGCCCATGATGCCCATGATGCCCATGATGCCCATGATGCCCATGATGCCCATGATGCCATGATGCCCATGATGCCCATGATGCCCATGATGCCCATGATGCCCATGATGCCCATGATGCCCATGATGCCCATGATGCCCATGATGCCCATGATGCCCATGATGCCCATGATGCCCATGATGCCCATGATGCCCATGATGCCCATGATGCCCATGATGCCCATGATGCCCATGATGCCCATGATGCCCATGATGCCCATGATGCCCATGATGCCCATGATGCCCATGATGCCCATGATGCCCATGATGCCCATGATGCCCATGATGCCCATGATGCCCATGATGCCCATGATGCCCATGATGCCCATGATGCCCATGATGCCCATGATGCCCATGATGCCCATGATGCCCATGATGCCCATGATGCCCATGATGCCCATGATGCCCATGATGCCCATGATGCCCATGATGCCCATGATGCCCATGATGCCCATGATGCCCATGATGCCCATGATGCCCATGATGCCCATGATGCCCATGATGCCCATGATGCCCATGATGCCCATGATGCCCATGATGCCCATGATGCCCATGATGCCCATGATGCCCATGATGCCCATGATGCCCATGATGCCCATGATGCCCATGATGCCCATGATGCCCATGATGCCCATGATGCCCATGATGCCCATGATGCCCATGATGCCCATGATGCCCATGATGCCCATGATGCCCATGATGCCCATGATGCCCATGATGCCCATGATGCCCATGATGCCCATGATGCCCATGATGCCCATGATGCCCATGATGCCCATGATGCCCATGATGCCCATGATGCCCATGATGCCCATGATGCCCATGATGCCCATGATGCCCATGATGCCCATGATGCCCATGATGCCCATGATGCCCATGATGCCCATGATGCCCATGATGCCCATGATGCCCATGATGCCCATGATGCCCATGATGCCCATGATGCCCATGATGCCCATGATGCCCATGATGCCCATGATGCCCATGATGCCCATGATGCCCATGATGCCCATGATGCCCATGATGCCCATGATGCCCATGATGCCCATGATGCCCATGATGCCCATGATGCCCATGATGCCCATGATGCCCATGATGCCCATGATGCCCATGATGCCCATGATGCCCATGATGCCCATGATGCCCATGATGCCCATGATGCCCATGATGCCCATGATGCCCATGATGCCCATGATGCCCATGATGCCCATGATGCCCATGATGCCCATGATGCCCATGATGCCCATGATGCCCATGATGCCCATGATGCCCATGATGCCCATGATGCCCATGATGCCCATGATGCCCATGATGCCCATGCCATGATGCCCATGATGCCCATGATGCCCATGATGCCCATGATGCCCATGATGCCCCTGATGCCCATGATGCCCATGATGCCCATGATGCCATGATGCCCAATGATGCCCATGATGCCCATGATGCCCTATGATGCCCATGATGCCCATGATGCCCATGATGCCCATGATGCCCATGATGCCCATGATGCCCATGATGCCCATGATGCCATGATGCCCATGATGCCCATGATGCCCATGATGCCCATGATGCCCATGATGCCCATGATGCCCATGATGCCCATGATGCCCATGATGCCCATGATGCCCATGATGCCCATGATGCCCCATGATGCCCATGATGCCATGATGCCCATGATGCCCATGATGCCCATGATGCCCATGATGCCAATGATGCCCATGATGCCCATGATGCCCATGATGCCAATGATGCCCAGGATGCCCATGATGCCCATGATGCCCAATGATGCCCATGATGCCCATGATGGCCCATGATGCCCATGATGCACATGATGCCCATGATGCCCATGATGCCCATGATGCCCATGATGCCAATGATGCCCATGAGCCATATGCCATGATGCCCATGATGCCCATGATGCCCATGATGCCAGTGATGCCCATGATGCCAATGATGCCCATGATGCCCATGATGCCCATGATGCCCATGATGCCAATGATGCCCATGATGCCCATGATGCCCATGATGCCCATGATGCCCATGATGCCCATGATGCCCATGATGCCCATGATGCCCATGATGCCCATGATGCCCATGATGCCCATGATGCCCATGATGCCCATGATGCCCATGATGCCCATGATGCCCATTGATGCCCATGATGCCCATGATGCCCATGATGCCCATGATGCCCATGATGCCCATGATGCCCATGATGCCCATGATGCCCATGATGCCCATGATGCCCATGATGCCCATGATGCCCATGATGCCCATGATGCCCATGATGCCCATGATGCCCATGATGCTCATGATGCCCATGATGCCCATGATGCCCATGATGCCCATGATGCCCATGATGTTCATGATGCCCATGATGCCCATGATGCCCATGATGCTCATGATGCCCATGATGCCCATGATGCCCATGATGCCCATGATGCGTGAGCGGCTGGACATGCAGCCAGAGGTGGCTGAGGTGAGTGCACTGCACGAGTGTGTTACTCACGCTCTTTCATGCGCACCCCCGCCAGCGTACAGTGCAAGGCTCACTACCCCCACCCTCTCCCTCCCCCTCTCCCTGGCCTCCTACCTCGCAGGCAGAATTACCGATGCAGGCAGCAGTACGAGGGTGAGTACTCGGCATGGCAGCAGGGCACCGGCATGCCACTCCCTGCCTCCTCTCGATTATAACCCCTTCCCTCCGCCTTCTGTCCTCCCTCTCCCACCACCCAGGCAGAAGCACCAAGGCAGCAGTACGAGGGTGAGTAGAGCGAATGGCAGCAGGCCACCTCCAAGAAGCCTCCAGCATACAGCACAAGACTCACTACCTCCTCACCCTCCCCCCTCCACCCTCTCTCACCCTCCCCCCTCCACCCTCTCTCACCCCCTCTCCCACCGCCCAGGCAGAAGCACTGAGGCAGCAGTACGAGGGCGAGTACACGGCATGGCAGCAGACCACCGTCAAGAAGCCACCAGCATATAAGTCCCGCCGCAAGCCCAAGCCCAGCTCGTCCCAGCACGACGGCAATGCTCAGAACCCCACGGGGACTACAGGGAGTGCCGTGACCACGGAGGAATTTCTCCGTGCTGTGGCGACTGCTCTCGTCGCTGCCATCCCCCTGCCCTCCGCCGCCCTCCATGCCAGCAACCCCTCTGCTGCAAACGACCCCAGCGAGAGGCAGTGCCGTGCTGGTGCTGCTGCAGGCGACTATGCCTCTGGTGCTCGTACTTGCTCAGGGGAGGGGAGGTGGGGAGGGATGGAGGACGATGTCGAGGGGGAAGGGGAGGTTGAAGGAGAAGCGGAGGGGGAGGGGGATGGGCGGTATGAGTTGGCGTTTGTGCCTCTGATGCACCTGCTGGGGCGGGCAGGGAGAGGATCCGTTGCAGATATAGTGCTGGCGGATGGTGAAGGGGGGGAGACGAATGGGACGGGGACTGGGAGTGAGCAGACGGGAGGCGATGGGGATGGGGATGGGGATGGGGATGGGGATGGGGATGGGGATGGGGATGGGGATGGGTATGGGGATGGGTATGGGGATGGGGATGGGTATGGGGATGGGGATGGGGATGGGGATGGGTATGGGGATGGGGATGGGGATGGGGATGGGTATGGGGATGTGGATGCGGAAGTTGATGCGCCGAACGTGCAGTGGGAGGTGGTGGGGGGGTTGATCCGCGTGGTTGCGACACAGCGCATTGCCAATGACGCGCCTCTGCTGCTACCCCTGGATGGCGGGCTGTCAGGGCACTTCAGAGAGGCGCAGAAAGCCAGGGAGAGGCGAGTCAAGGCGAGGAGGCAGAGGAGGAACAAAGAGAAGGAAGGGCAGACTGGAGAGCAGGCCAAGGAAGCAAAGAAGCAGCAGCAGCAGGGGGAGGAAAAAGAGGAGGAAAAGGAAGATGCAGGGGAGGAAGGGTACTTGGAGCAGCAGTGGGCCAGGGAAGGCAACAGGTGGCAGGGAGCTGGAAATGGAAAGCAGCAGCTGCAGAAGAGTGCTTTGTCACAGACGCAACGAGCACGGAAGCTTCCCCAGCCGTCGCTGATCCACGCCACACCTCTCTCTAACACAGATGCCTTCACCTACTTTGGCGTCGCCCCCAAGTCGCTCTTTCTCGACCAGTTCCCCCTCTTCGACTCCCCCGTCGCTGCCCTGCAAGCGGCTGCCACGCAAGTGCCGCCCGATTTTGACCCCGATGCAATCGAATCCCAGCTCAAGATTGCGGAGATCGGCGCGAAGATTCTGCGGGCGGTGCGGAGGGTGAAGAGGAGGGTGGTAAAGGCGGTGGTGTGGGGGAGCAGGGAGGAGAGAGAGAGAATGGGGGTAAGGGAGGAGATAGTGGAGAAAGTGAGGGTGTGGGAGATGAGGAGGGAGATGAGGGAGAGGATGGGACTGGAGAAGAAACCAGGGGGAGGAGGAGGAAACGAAGGGGGGAGTGGGGGAGGAGAAGAAGAGGAGGAGGGAGGTGTGGAAGGGGAGGATGGGTAGGATGGGGAGGAGGGGCAGGAAGGGGGACAGGCGGGGAAGGGAGGGGTGGATGTGTCATGGCTGGAAGGGCCGGCGCTGCATGTGTATTCGCTGGGTCTCATGGATCCCGAGATGGTGGCCTACCTCACTGCCTTCACCTACTTCTTCGCCACTAAGGAGGGTGAGTGTTGTGTGCAGTCAGTCATATAGTGATGGTATAGTGATGGGGGAGGGAGGATGAGTGAGCTTCCTTTGACACCGGCACAGAAGAGAATGAGTGCTTGAGCTTTTGCATCTGCCACACACACGGCAGCACATCCTTACCCCCACCTACCTTGCTTCCCCTCGTCTTCCCACTTCCCACTTCCCCCCCCAGAGCCGCACTACAGCTTCTTTGCTCGAGTGAGCGTCGCCTATGCATGGAACCTCGATGGCAAAACCACGTGCACGCACATGCCCCTCCTCTCCTCCTCCCCCTCATCCTCCTCATCATCCTCCTCCTCCAACCACTCCTCCAACCCCCTCCACATCTCCCTCTCCAAGTTCCCCCATCGGGACCATCTGCTCTCCGCCCTCACGCCCGTGCTGAGGCTCGTGGCGAGCACACTTAGGGAGCTGGTGGAGGCGCACTTAGCTAAGTACCAGGGCTCAGTGCAGGAGGACGCCATGTCGCTGTATTACGTGCCCTTCTGCCGCGTGTGGCAGCGCGCTGGAGTGAAGCAGCCCGAGAAGATCGTCAAGGTGAGTGGTCTTTGTGTCGGGTGGGAGGAGGGGAGAAGAAAGGGGGGTCTGTGCCAAATGCTGCGTGTGGCAGCAGGGGGGAGGGCAGCAGGGGGGAGGGCAGCAGCTGGAAATGAGGAGAGTGATATGGTGGGGGTGGGTGAAGGGTGCTGGGAGTGAGTTTGGGGAGGTGGGGTGGGAGCGAGGTAAGAGGCGCACTTAGCTAAAACACAGGATTCAGTGTGCAGGGGGACGCCATGTCACTTAACTACAGCACGCACTCTCTCCTATCCATGCCTTCTTCCCCCTTCCCCACAAAGGTCTTCCCCATGTACGAGGCATGGATGACGACGGGGTTAGAGGAGGTGGAGCATGTGGTGCAGCAGCACCTCATGCGGGGGGGAAGAGTGTGAGGAGGCGCGTAGCGTCACGCGGTGCAGAGGCACCTCATGTCCCAAGCAACTATCTTTTCCATCTGGCCCTTCTTCTCCCCACTATACCCCCCTTTGTTAGGTCTGTGAGCCGTGGATGATCACGGGATTAGAAGAGGTTTAGCACGTGGTGCAGCGCCACCTCAGCCACCCCCCTCCCCTTCACCACTTTCCCTCTTTCCGACTACCACTCCCCATCAGACCTGTGAGCCGTGGATGATGACGGGATTGGAGGAGGTGGAGCACTTGGTGCAGCAGCAAGCATTCCCCTCACCCACTCTCTCCAATGCCTCCGATCCCAACCCTCCCCGCCTCCCCCCCCATCAGATCTGTGAGCCGTGGATGATGACGGGACTGGAAAAGGTGGAGCACGTGGTGCAGCGCCACCTCAACAGCAAGCAGCTCCTCGTGGAGGCCTCTGATTGGCTGCTGCTCTCCTGCGACCCGCGCTTCGACCTGCACCTGGGGGGAACAAGGAGCTGGGCGGGAGCGGAGGGGGAGGGGGAGGGGGAGGGGGAGGGGGCGGGGGCGGGGGCGGCGGAGGATGAGGAAGGGAGGGGAGGGAAGGAGGCGAAGGGAGGGCAAGCGGAGGCGGGGAGGGGAGGAGGGGGTGCGGTGGAGGAGGAGAGAGGGGAGGCAGGGGAGGGGGAGGACGAGGAGGAGAGGAAGCTGAGGGCGTTTATAGAGTGGGTGCAGCAGAGAGGCATCAAGGAGTATGGCACAGATGACTCCCCTCTCAAGGTGAGAGCCCATCGAGGTGAGCACTTAGCTCATTCAGATCTTGTATTGTGAAAGAACTCAGTGTGTTATGATTTCTAGAGTGCCATTTTCCACATTTTGCTCTTACTCACGTACACTAAAGAAGCATCACAGTGCGTGAGCAGAGGAGTCTTTTAGCAAAGCACTGTTCGTTCCTTCATGCTTTCTGCTTCACGAATCCTCCTTCCACAACCAGCCACCCCCCTCTTCTCACGTATTCCATGCCCTGTATCGCCAGTTTCATTTCTACGACCATCGTGACATCGCACCCTCCTTGAGCAACACCTCGGATCCCTCTGCTGCCACCAACACATCTGCCAAGCCACGTGTCAGGTGTGCAGTGTGCCACGTGTCAGAATACTTTCCTGAATACATTCTGCCATGTATCGGGTGCGCAGTATGTAATGTAAGCATTCTGCCACATGGCATGCCAGCAGTGTGCCACATGTCAGGCGAGTATTGTTCCACGTGTCAGGCAGGCATGCATGCATACTGTTAGGGAAACGACCTGCAGGAGGGGGAGGTGCTGCTGCTCACTCCCCCCCTCCTGTCGTTCCCGCATATCTCTGGCTATCTCTGGCCATCTATCTACCTCTCTGCCTGCCTGCTCCTTCATACCTGCCAGGCGGATGGGTGCCACATGAGCATGGTTGCAGGGAGCGAGAGGGCCTGCAGGGGGGGAAGGCGCTGCCAACTCCGGATCACGGTCGTGCCTGCTTATCTATTCCTTTTGAGGCGCCTCAAAAGTCGCTGCCGACTCCGGATTACGGTCGTGCCTGCTTATCTATTCCTTGCATTCCTTCTGCTCTTTATGTCTGCCTCTCTGTCTCCTGTCATACCTGTTAGGCGGCAGATGAGCATGGTGGCGGGGAGGGACGTGCAGGCAGCAGGAGGGGGAGGTGCTGCTCATTTGTGATTAGGCTCCTGCTTATCTCCGTCCATCACCCCGTTATCTCTCTGCCTCTCTGTCTCCTGTAACGCCTGCCAGGCGCCAGCCAGATGAGCATGGTGGCGGGGAGGGACGTGCAGGCAGCAGGAGGGCGAGGTGGCGCAAGCTGGTAATTTCCCCTGCTTGTTTCAACTCCCCTCCCTGTATTGCTTTCTGTGACGCCCCTGCCAGGCGCCAGATGAGCATGGTGGCAGGGAGGGACGTGCAGGAGGGGGAGGTGCTGCTGACCATTCCGCAGTCGCTGTGGATCACAGCAGAGGTCGCAGCAGAGGAGATGCCGCCGCACACAGGTACTCATCTGCATGGAAGGTACTTATCAGCACAGGTACTGTGTGGTACTGCATGGCATTGCATTGTACCGCATTGCATCACATTCAACCGACTGTTGTGCTGCAACGAGGGACGTGTAGGTTGGGGAGGTGCTGCTGACCATTCCACAGTCGCTGTTGGTCACAGCAGAGGTCGCAGCAGAGGAGATGCCGCCGCACACAGGTATGACTGTTGCGCTGCAATGTACCGCATTGCATCTCATTGCACCACATTGAACCGACTGCTGCAAGGAGGGACGTGCAGGTTGGGGAGGTGCTGCTGACGATTCCGCAGTCGCTGTGGGTCACAGCAGAGGTCGCAGCAGAGGAGATGCCGCCCCACACAGGTACTCCCCTTTGCACTGCATGTGACTGCATTGTACTGCATTGCACTGCATTGCACCGGCTCTCATTCTGCAACGAGGGACCTCCTGGGGTGCCGGGGGCGAAGGGGGGGGTGCTGCTGACCATTCCGCAGTCGCTGTGGATCACAGCAGAGGTTGCAGCAGAGGAGATGCCGCCGCACACAGGTACCCTTTGGTCCGCACTGTACGACATTGCACGGCCTCTTCTGCTGCAACGAGCGGCCTGCAGGAGTTGGAGGTGAGTAAGAAATGCCACCCCATATCCCCTTAATCCGTTCTGCCTCCCCCTCTCGACCTCCCCTGGTCCACCAGGCCTGAACATCCAGTCCAGTTGACCTTTGAGTCGACTCAAAAGTCAAAAGTCAATTTTGAGTCGACTCAAAAGTCAACCCTGGTCCACCAGGTCTGAAAATCCAGGTGGCCGTGGCGTCAAGGCTGTTGCAGGAGGGATATTGTTTGCTTGCTTGCGTAACTTATGTGAGAAAATACCTTCCTTTTCCGCTCGGCCTTCCCTGCCAATCGCCACAGGGCTGGTGAAGGGGAACGTCCAGTTGGCCATGGTGGCATGGCTGCTGCTGCGGGGGAAAGTGCTTGTTTGCTTGCTTGCATACCCCTTGTGTCATATTCTGTCGTGCCTGCCGCCTCACATTTTGCCTCCCCTGATACTCGCCACAAGTCCTGTGGACATCCAGGTGGTCATGGTGGCGTGGCTGCTGCGGGAGAAAGTAAAGCAGGTGACACGCCTCGTTTCCCCTCTGACACGCCTCCCTTCCTTGTGAAACGGGTGTTAAGCATGTAGTTCCCATTCCCCTCCCCCGTGACTCGCCGCAGGCCCGGTGAATATCCAGGTGGCCATGGTGGCGTGGCTGCTGCGGGAGAAGGCGAGGGGGAGGCAGTCAGAGTGGTGGCCATACATAGACATCCTGCCTCCCTACGTGCCACTGCCCCACCGCTTTCGCAACGACTCCCTGGACGAGGCTCAGTCCGACCTCCTCAAGCTACTGGTATGCATGCACTGCAGTGACTTGACTCGGTTGGTTACTGGGAATTCTCAAGAGGCTGCTGGTGACCCTACATTGCCATCCTGCCGCTCAATGTGCCGCTGCCCTCGCGCGTCCACAATGACTCCCTGGACGAGGCTCAGTCCGACCTCTTAAAGCTACTGGTGCGTGCCGTGCCGTGCTGCCTTCCGTGCACTGGTGCCTTGGCACTGGTTTATTATCAGAAATTTCCAAGAGGCAGGTGCCTCATCCCGCCGCCCTATGTCCCTGCTTCTGCCCCCTCGCTTCTGTGATGTGATGACTCCCTGGAAGATGCTCAGTCTGACCTCCTCAAGCTACTGGTACATGCCTTAGTGGCTTGGTAATGGTACGTGCTGCAATCACTGTGCACTTCCTGCCGCATCCACTGCAGTCATCCTTGCTGAAGCAACTGGAAGGTGTTGCAGTTGCTCCGTGCGGTTGCTCCGTGCACATCGCGTCGTTGGGCTCTCGTTCCATCCACTTGCTTCAGCACAACCGACCCCTTCCATTCCATACTCGTGAGGAATAGCCTTTACCGTGCTGTCACGATAGTCAACCGCTGCGTGCCTGACTGAGGACTATTTCATCGCCATCTCTCCTTACCCTCTCCATCCCTCTCCATCCTTCACCATCCCTGTCCATCCTTTTCCACCCCGCTCCCAGGTCCACGAGCAGAGGGAGATGGCATGGCTGGAGTACAAGCAGGTGCGCCCGCCGGCCATGGCGTTTGCGTCATTCGACGACTACCTGTGGGCAGGCACACTGCCTCTTCAACTTGCGTGCCTTCTCCGTGCCCTCTCTCCTTCGTTTCCTCCGTTCCTCTCCATGCCTCCCTTATTCTGACCCCAATCGCAGGTCCACCAGCAGAGGGAGGTGGCTCTTATGGAGTACAGGCAGGTGCGCCACCCGCTCTCCTTCTTGGACCCTGCCGTTTCCACAGAGGACTCTTGGGCCTTCCCTCTCCATTCCCCTCCATCCCTCTCCATCCCTCTCCATCCCTCTCCATCCCTGACCCCACTCCCAGGTCCACCAGCAGAGAGAGGTGGCCCTTATGGAGTACAAGCAGGTGCGCCCGCCCGCCATGGCGTTTGCATCGTTCGACGACTACATGTGGGCGCACTCCATTCTCGACTCTCGCGCCTTCTCCGTGCCCGTCAAAGAGCTCTCCGGCTTGGACCTTGAAGTCGCCACCGCAGGGAAATCGGGCAGTACGGGAGCGAGGAAAGCAAAGAACGGCAAGCAGGGAGGAGGGAGCGAGGAGAGCAAGGGGAGCGGGGGGAGCGGGGGTGGGGAAGAGGCGGCGAGAGACGGGGGTGAGGGGGACGAGAAGGAGAAGAGGAGGAGGGTGAGGGAGGAGCGGCGGAGGACGATGGCGAATGCACCGGGGGAGTTGGTGGAGGCAGTGAACGACGCGGTGGGGGTGCTGCACGAGTCACCCCGCCGTGTGGTGCGCGGCATGGGTATGGCGCTCATCACTGCAGCCGAGCTGCTGGATCACCAAATCAACTCCTCCATTCAGTACAACGTGAGTTGGGGGGGGCTCACAGTGAGTGGGCGGTGGTAATGAGCGCAGGCAGGTGGTGAGAGGTGCTTGGCAGTGAATGAGTGAACGGCTGACTGCGAGGGTGCCTCTCTCTCTTGCACCGGGCGAGTTGGTGGAGGCAGTCAACGAGGCGGTGGGGGTGCTGCACGAGTCGCTCCGCCGTGTGGTGCAAGGCGTGGGTATGGCGCTCATCACTGCAGCTGAGCTGCTGGATCACCAAATCAACTCCGCCATCCAATACAACGTGAGTGCAACTCATTCGCACGGGCTGAATTATTGAGGCGCCTCAAAAGCTGGGCCACCAAGTCAACGCCTCCATTCAGTACAACGTGAGTGCAACGCATTCACACAGGCTGAATTTGTCCCATGATGAGATTTTCATTTGAGCTTCTTGACTATGGATCACTACAATGCGTGTTTACAAGGGCTGAGCTGCTGGACTATCAAATCAACGCCTCCATCCAGTACAATGTGAGTGGGGGCTGGTAGAGGGTGAGGGGTGGTTGGTAATGGTGCAGGCAGGTGGTGAGTGGTGCCTGGCAGTGAGTGGGTGAATGGATTACTACAATGAGTGTTCAGAAAGGTTGAGCTGCTGGAGCACCAAGTCAACGCCTCCATCATTGTCAGGGGTGGTTATGAGTGGGTGACCCGGTAGCGGCTGAGTGATGGCTGGTCGCGTGTGGCTGTTTAGCAAACAGATCACAGCTTCTTGACCACCTAATCAACTCTTCCCTCCCTCCCTCCCTCCCTCCCTCCCTCCCTCCCTCCTCCCTCCCTCCCCCCCTCCTTCCCCCCCTCCCTCCCCCCCCACCCCCAGATAACGCACCAATTCGAGTACATAGCCATGGTCAATGTCTCAGCAGGAACGGAGCTCGCCACGTCGTACGGCCCCAAGACGAACGACCAGCTGCTCGCCACCTACGGCTTTGTTCTCGATGCCAACCCTTTTGACGGTGCGCCTCTCTTCGAGAACCTCACTGAGGCGGTGGGTGTGGTGGCGGCGCTGCTGGCCAATGGGGGTGATGGGCGAGGAGGGACGGGGGGAAGAGGGGAGGGGATGGGGAAAGGAGAGGCGGCTGGCGGTGGTGTGAGGGCGGGTCTGCTGGGAAGTAAGGGAGAGGGGGAGGGGGAGGAAAAAGGGGGAGAAAGGGAGGGGGAATTGGGGAGGGAGGTGTATCCGGGGGAGGTGGAGCTGAAGAGGGCTCTGGAGGAGATCTGGCTGACTGAAGAGCCACCAGCCGCACAGGCAGCTGATGATGGTGATGGTGGCAGCAGTGGCAGTAGCATTGGTGGCGGTAGCAGCGGTGGCGGTGGCAGTGAGGGTGAGGGTGGTACCAGCACCAGCAGCAGTGGTGGCGACAGCAGCAGCAGCAGCAGCAGCACCCCGCACGTCTCAACTCTCAGCAAATGGACAGCCTCAGGAGCATCAGGCAAGGCTCTGTACCGCGATCTGCTGAGGGTGGCAGCCAAGGCAGTAGCAGCGGTGGTGGCGGAGGGGGAGGACGGCAACTACACTGAGGTACTCAAAATGCCCCAGTATAACCTCAAGCAGCGCGTGAATGAGGCCGCGTGGAAGCGAGTGGGCAAGCGCAAGGGGGAGAGGAGAAGGACGGGAGCCTCTGGTAGCAACGGCGGTGGTGGTGCTTCTGGTGTTGCTGGTTCTGACGGTGGGCGTGGGGTGATGGTGTGGAGGGAGAGAGTGGGGACGACGGGGAGGAGGAGGAGGAGGGAGAGGGGAGGAAGAAAGATGAGAAGGAGAGGATGGCTGAAGAGCAGGAGGTGGCGGTGTGGGCGTATGGGGTGGTGGAGCCCACACTGCTGGCGTCACTAGCAGCCGTGTGGCACGTCGTGCACTACGAGCAAGGTGAGAGTGGATGGTCAAGAGTGCTGTTCTTGAACAGTCATTGTACGGACTCTGCTGGGCTAGCAGCCGTATGGCACCTCGTGCAGTACGAGCAAGGTGAGAGTGCTGTTCTTGGACACTTTTCTCATGCGCGGTCGCTAACGGCCGTGAGGAGGAGCAGGAGGTGGCGGTGTGGGCGTACGGGGTGGTGGAGTGGAGCCCACACTCCTGGCGTCGCTGGCAGCAATGTGGCACCTCGCGCACAGCGAGCAAGGTGAGTACATACCGTGCTCTGCTCAGCTGGGGCGTGGTGATGTGTCCCCCACTCCGCCTCCCCATTCTCCCCCCCGCTTCTCCCAGAGCCGCACTCTGCTCAGCTGGCGCTGGGCTCTGTGCTGTACGGCTGGGGCGTGTCTTCCATCAACAGGTCCTCCCTGCACCTCACCTCCTGCCAAATTCCCATCCCCCCCCCCTACGCTCATCCCTCCTATCCCCCAACGAAGCCCCACCAGAGCCGCACTATTCTCAGCTGGCGCTGGGCTCTGTGCTGTACGGCTGGGCGTATCGGCCAACAGCAGGACCTGTCTGCACCTCTTGCAACCCAACTCGCCTTTCCCCCATCCCTCCCATACCCGCCTCCCCCTGTTCCAACCCAGAGCCGCACTATGCTCAGCTGGCGTGTGCACTACGGCTGGGGCGTGTCTGCCAACAACAGCACCTGCCTGCACCTCTTGCCAAATTCCCATCCCCCATACGCTCCTCCCCCCTATCCCCCAACGAAGCCCCACCAGAGCCCCACTATTCTCAGCTGGCACTGGGCTCTGTGCTGTACGGCTGGTGGGGTGTGTCTTCTAACCGACCTCCCTGCACCTCCTGCAACCCAGCTCTCCCCCCCATTCCTCTTCCCCATCCCTTACCCCCACCCCTTTCACCTATCACTTTTCCCACCAGAGCCCCACTATTCTCAGCTGGCGCTGGGCTCTGTGCTGTACGGCTGGGGCGTCTCTTCCAACAACAGGTCCTCCTGGCACCTCCTGCCACCCAACTCGCCTTTGTCCTTCCCCATCCTCTCCTCCCACTTTCCCCACCAGAGCCCAACTGCACTCAACTAGCGCTGGGCTCTGTGCTGTACGGCTGGGGCATATTTGCCAACAACGTACCTGCCTGCACCTCCTGCCAAAAATTTCTTCTTCCCTTCCCACCCCCCCCTTTCCCCTTGTTCCCCACCAGAGCCGCACTATGCTCAGTTGGCGCTGGGCTCTGTGCTATACGGCTGGGGCGTTTCTTCCAACAACAGGACATGCCTGCACCTCCTGCCAAACTACTCCACCCTAATGCCGGCCGTGGTCGCTGCGGCCGACACCATTCGTCTTCTAGCGGAGTACCGGCTGGCTCGGTACCCCACCACCATGGAAGAGGACGATGCTGTGCTTCGGAAGCTACAGTCCTGCCAAGCCTGGGGCAAAGGCTCGGCGGAAGGCTCGGCAGGAGAAGAAACAGCTGGGACAGGCTTATCTGGGGAGGGTTCGAAACCCGGCAAGGAGGAGGGGAGGGAGAAAAGGGAGGATAGAGAGGTCGAGGAAAAGGGAAAGGGGGAGACGGAGGACAAAGAAGAGGACAGAGAAGAGGCCAAAGAGGCGAGGGAAAGGGAGGAGTTTCGTGCGTGGTGTGAGCCAATCTTGGCGGTGGTGGAGGAGAGGATGGTGCTGGTGAGGTACCGCCGGCACAAGAAGAAGGTGTTGCAATCTGTCGCCTCCCGCCTCCACCGCACCTGCGTGCTCCCCTCCCTCACTGTTGCTCGCGCCCCTGCCCCGGGTGCTCGTGGTTTGGACCACTCTGGTTCGGCCGAGGCTGGTTTGGCTAGTGCTGTGAGCAGTGAGGATTCTTCTCTGCCTAGTTCCGATAGTGATCAGGCTGGAGTTAGTGCAAATGCGATCCAGGAAAAGTAGCAGTGAGCAGGGGAGGGAGCAAGAGGGATCTTGAATGGGATGCTGTTATCACATGCTTAAGTCAGAGTTTGCAATCTGGAGTGTCACTATCCTATGTCATAGGGGGAGAATGAGCTGTGGTAATGAATCTGTGCTTATGCTTCCATTAGGAACACATGTCAGGTGCAAGTGGAACATATGCAATGCGATTCTAAAGACCTGCTTACACCTTTATCTCCGAGCTAACCAGCTGAACCGCAAACAACGTACACCCACACACCAAACACGAGAACAATTGTGTAGGGCCAGCAAGCTCTACCCACACCACAACTAGAACATGCCGTCTTTCCCACTCACCCTTCGTCTTCACAGGGACAGTTCCTACATGTGTTAGAGGCGACGTTGCGCCGAGTCCGACGGCCATAGAAGTGCAGCCGTCAACTGACCGCGGGAAGAAATATATAAACCCCATCTCGAATCCCGTGTTTAGGGTTGATCCCTCCCAAACCGCGTGCCGTCAATGGGGTTTCTAATTTTACTGAATGGCTCAGGGTAGATGACGGAACGTCGGGACGGGATACATCGTGCCTTGTCATGCACGGTTCAAGCTTAGGTCTGTTGCGGAATTGGCAAAAGCAGACACACGAATTTGGTGGAGGAGAGCGAGTTCGGTGTGATGTGATGCAAGACGGAAGGTAGGAGACAGGTCAGGACTCAATAAGTTGTAATCGCGTAATACCGCGGCAAACTGCATTGAACCTTTGGTTCCCCAGAAAATCCTGGGGAGCTTGTGTGAGGAAGAAGTGGTGAGCACGGGTTGGCAATCGCTTATTATCGCTGCTTCTCAATATCCTCCGCCATTGCATTGTTAATTGTATAGCATCCCACTTCTCTTTTCCCGTACGACAACTTCTAGAGACGGAAATCGCGGAGGATTCGTATCCCTGCGACAACCATCCATAAGTTTCGCGTGAGGCGGACCCCGAAAACCTTTACCCATGCGACCAGCTTCGATTGTCACAGACTCCACTCAAGTCGAGCTCCGAGCTCAAAAGTCTGAAGCCAGAAATCGCATCGAAAACGTGGGATACCCCAAGGTCAACGACTCGGGGCGCTACTGTGAGGATCTGGTTCAGGAAAGATAAATCTATTGAATGATCCACCTGGGTACAAGGCGAGGCTATATATAGGCTCGACACAAGGCATGTAACCCAGGTGTTACGCGAATGTTCTGAGGGTCGCGAAGCGTCCCGAACAGAACCTTCCTGAACTCGGTAGAAAGCAATTCGGTGGGAACCGAAAAGGCTTGAGTTCGGTACACGTAACCTGGTTCGGTGCTATAAGTATAATAACATATAGGAATGCACCTAACCTAGGAAATCAAGCATATCTATGCATGATAAATAAAACCTAAGCTAGTAATAACATAATAATGTCCAGGCAAGCTAGAAAAGCCAGCATAAGCCGTCGTACTCTCACAGCTACGCGTCGGGCTTCCCCTCGTTCGTTCCACCCCTCATTGAGAGGTCTCACTCACACCTCCTCCCCGCTCAAGCTGCTCGTCCTCGTTCGTTGCCTCTCAACGCGTTTCCGACCTGCGCGGCGCGCATCACGCAGCACCATGGTGAGCCACAGCAGGCCTCGCTTGAGCCACATGCCGCTTTCTAGTTTTTTTTAGTCACGTGCCTCGAAATCCGTTTTTCAATCCTGCGTGCATGTCACGCCGCAGCATCCGGCTAGAAGCTGAGCCCCTGCAGGCCTCTCATCGAAAGTGATGTCTCCGAGTCACCCCTGCGGGCTCTCGTGTACGTTCCACATCCGTTTGAAGTGCGTCTCATGTTCGTTTCATTCCCGTTTCACATCCGTTTCAGAATTGTTGTTAGACCGTTTCGTGCCCGTTTCATGCTGGTTACCGGTCCGTTTCATGTCCGTTTCCTGTTCCTTCCCCCCATCCCCCCTAGAAGTCGCACGCAGCTGCCAGGAGCGTCCGTTCAGACGCTCCCCTCCTCCTCCTCCTCCTTCCCCTCCTCCTCGCGCTCTTGTGCGCGGCGCAATCCTTGCTACCAGAAGAACGTATCTTGCAAGGAACACAAATTGCGCAAGGAGACAATATCGCGAAGTGATGGGATCAAGGAGCCCGCTCATCGTCCGAAGAATCATCGACGCGTGTTGCTACGAGGAGGAACGGAGACTGAGACGATTTATTTGAGTCCAGGTGCGAGCCCGTGAAGGTAGCTTATGGTGAAGGTAGCTTATGTTGAAGGTAGCACGTGATGAAGGTAGCACAAGGTCAAAGGACGAACCGGGGAGGGTAGCTCGTTGATTACACGCTCAAGTCGTGGCGGCTCTTCGCGAGCTACGCGTCGAATGACGGTATATTGGGATACAGAGCTCTTGCCGCGCTTCATACACTACACTCTCACGAAACAGGCGACGCGCAACCATATTGGGCGGGCGGAACGCGTGGCAGACATCGACGTGCGTTCTCGTTGTATCGTCTAGCTGCGCAGCACCATAGTAGGCCCGTCCTTTACCGCGTACTACCACAGTTGCTATCACAGTTTTGACTTTCGAGTCGCTGCATGGAAAGCCATTATTCACCTCGTTAGTTGCATTGTACCTCGATCGCCCCGCCTCTCGTCTCGTCTCGCTGGTCGCGTCTGAGTTTTTCTATGCTATTCTCCAACTTCAATCTGAGACGTGCGTCCAAAAGTGCAATTTCTTCGTACTATGATGTCGCCACGCCTCGTACTAATTCATATCTATCTCCCAATACACCGTGCAGGTGCTTGACCGCACTACCCTGTAACGAGTTGGTGAAGAGTCGGCGGTGCAGCACCGTGGATGTGGGCGAAGGTGGCCTGTTCATCAGTGGTAACCAGACAGATGGCGTTGCAAGCGAAGGACGCAACAGCACTGTTGATGATACCGGTACGGCCCCTACATCCCCCCCGCACTATGTGAAATTAGGGTTGAACATAAACCATTTGTTTCATCAGAGAGAGAAACAAGCATACATAGTTTGGAAGAGAGAGTTGGAAGGGAAAGGGAGGGAGGTGGAATTGGGGGAGTGGGCCAACCTATGGCCCATTAGGTTGGGTTGACCACACTTGGGGAAGTGGGGCAACCTATGGCCCATTGGTTTGGGTTGACCACACTTGAGGAAGTGGGGCAACCTATGGCCCAATGGGTTGGGTTGGCCTCACTTTGGGAAGTGAGGTAATCTATGGCCCATTGGGTTGCATTTGGGGGCTCCACCACAATTGGGTTGGATTGGTACCCCAAAGTGCAAGACTACACCCAAAGTTGGGTGTAGTCCCAACCTTAACTGTACACCACAATTGGTGTACAGTCACAAGTGTTGGCATGCTACACAAGATAATTATAGCACCATCCATCCCACCCTCTGGTGTAACAACGCCAGCACCATCCATCGCGACTCCTGGGCGGGCTCGTATCCATCCCAAGATTGCCCCAAATGATGGTAACCCAACGTGATCCGAGTGATTGGCCATGGAATAGGGTAGGGAGTCGGGTATATTGTCTCTCCCTAGGGCCATGGTGGTGGACTTCCGTTTGCCCGAAATGATGGTAACACAAGCAGAGCCAGCGCGACTCCTGGGCGGCCATGATGCTAGCGTAGAGCTCGGCCTCGCAGGGTGGGGACATGGTCCTTGGTACCACGAATGTAGCGGAGGACCCTCTTAGCAGCCTTCCAGTGCTCCTCGGTGTGACGACCAATGCCGACGAAGCGAGCGAGCACGCTGATGGGGTAGGGAAGGTTGGGGCGGGTGCACATCATGGTGTATATCAGCGACTCAACGAACTCAGCATAGGGGCGAGAGGAGGAGGAGGAAGAAGTGGGTGGGGCGAGCTGGTGGCCGAAAGGGAGGGGGGTGGCCATGGGACTGGCCTGCGCCATCTCGAACTTCTCCAAGACCTGGCCGATGTAATGGGACTGGGAGAGGGTGATGGTGCGGGCAGGACGGTTGCGTGTGATAGCCATTCCCAGGTAGTGCGTGAGGTCACCCAGGTCCTTGCACTTGAGGCGCTGCTGCAGGGACATCTTCATCTGCTGCATGTCGGCCTTGGAGTCAGCAAGCAGGATCAAGTCGCCAACATACACCACGATGAAGAAGCGACGAGGGGAGGAGCGAATGAAGAGGCTGGCGTCGGAGTGCGACGCAGAGAAGCCAAGAGATCCCAGGGTGGCAGACAGCTTCGCGTGCCACTCCCTTGGCGCCTGGTTCAAACCATAGACAGGGCGACGCAGCTGCTAGATGGTGTTATCAGGAAAGGCAGCGTGGAACCCATGAGGCCGCCGTAGGAAGAAGCGCTCGTGCAGGTCGCCCTGCAGGAACGCATTGGAGACGTCCATGGAGCAAATCTCCATGTTGTCACGCGCGCCAATGTCGAGGGCTGCGCGAAGAGTGGGTGGCTTGGCGGTGGGGGCGAAGGTGGCCCAAAGATCCACAGCCCAAGTCTGTGTGAAACCCTTGGCGCAGTAGCGTGCCTAGTAGACCGGCTCCTCGCTCGGCAGCTGCTTTACCCGAAAGACCCACTTGCCCTCGACGAGGTTGGCGCCGGCTGGGAGGGGGACATCAACAAAGGAGTCGTTGTGAATGAATGCCTCACACTCCAAGCGCAAGCGACGGCAGGATGTCCGAGGCGACGGAATTGGGGGGCGTCGGCGGCGAGCAGGTTGCGGCGACGAGAGGTGCAGGCGATGGCGTAAGGGCCGCGGCGGCGAAGGGGAATGCGGCGACGACGTTCAGGTCGCGGCGACGAGGGGCGCAGGCGACGGCGGAAGGGCCGTGGCGGCAAAATTGGGAGCGGCGGCGGCAAGCAGGCCGCGGCGGCGAAAGGCGCAGGCGGCGGCGAAATGGCCGCGGCGGCAAAATTAAGGGCGGCGGTGGCGATATAGGCCACGGTGTCGAGAGATAACTGTGCAGGGATGAATGAACTATGCTAGAGTGAGATACAAGTAGTAAACCCTAACTGGGGTTGTACTCTATACTGAG